TCTGCAACGTCAGTCTCACCGCGCAGCAAAGCCCACGCCAACAAGAAACCCAGCGGCCTTCCTTCAGGAGAATGCCCGGCCCCAAGATTAGCAGTTCGGTTTTTCCTATACTTATTGCCGCGACGCCCCCTCCTGCCGCACTCGGCGTTAAAAAAATGTTATATATATATACTATACTAAAGAACGAATGCCGAATTTCACCCTGAGAACGTTCACTTCAGGGTCCGAATCTGGGTACTCTGGATCAGATATCTCACCGTCGTCGTCATCTGGGGCGGCGGCAGCGGGCGGCGGCGGCGGCGGGGGCGGTGCTGCCCCGCCGTCAACGCCGCCGTCATCTGCTGCATCAGGCCCAAGCGGCCCAACGCCTTCCCCAAATATGACATCCATTTCGCGCTCTGACTCAGCGCCAGCCTCACCGATGGCATCGCAGTCCACGCCCACGTGATCTGCTGCAGGTTCGGGCGGCAAGTCGATGGGATCCCCCGCCGCGTCGGCGGCAGCAATGTCGAATCCTGGGCCATCGGCGTGGTCCACGTCGGGCTCGTCGTCGGCGGCCGTGCCAACGCCGTCGGCCACGACGCCCTCACCGTCGAACTCGTCATCCTCGCTGCATTCGTACTTCGACAGGTCGATGCTCCAGCCTCTCCTCTTCCGTTTGCCAGGTGGGGGACCGCGCCGAGGCATCCGCAACAAGTGAGTGGGGTTGACGGGCATGACGGGGTCGCACTCGGCCACGTTCGGGACGAAACTCCCGAGCATACCATGCGAGTGCCGCAATTCCCAAAAGCTCACGCCCCAACGCTTATCAAGGTTCAGCCCCGAGAAGAACTTCACAGTACCAGATCCACCTAACAAACTCGTAACCCTGCGAGGCCTTGAACACCATGGCGAAATCGAAGCTGCATCGCCCCGCGGGGCCTCAACATAATGGAAAAGAGACTCCCAAGGCCTCTGCCACTGCCAACCGACGTGGGCCCACAGAACAGTACCCGAATCGTCGACGTCCTCCGTGAATCCGCCATCTGGGCTGACGCCCCTGCCAATGAATGCGACGACGACGTCTCCGTCCAACAACTTCTGTTTGAACCCAGCTGATGCCGCAGTGGATGCACGAAGAGCTGCTTTGAATCTCGCGGAGACCTGGCCCGCGTGAGCTGCGCCCCCCCCCCTCCCCCCCACGTTGCAGACGCAACAGCCCAGAAACTTGCAGCGGTGGTTCTTCTTCGCGTCGCCCAGCTTTCTCGCGGCCTCAATGATCTCTGGCCGGCGGGGACCACCGCTACATTGTGCAACTTCGTCCATGCAACGAGCAACCTGTTCTGGATCGTCTGCCCCGCGACGTTGCTGGTGCTGATGCTCAAAAGCTGCTTGCTCTTCGTCATGACGCCTGGTGGCGTCCACTCGTAGTCGTAGCACGTCGGGTAGCCGCTCGGCATGGGCAGGTGGTCGGCATCCTGCTCACAGACGGCCCCAACCTGCAACGACAGCGATCCCGAACCAGCATCCCGAGCATAGCCTGCCAACGAGCGCACCTCGACAGCCTTCGACTCCTGCTGCATCTTCGTCTGGGCGAAGCAGGCGGCCTTCAAGTCCAACGCTGCCTTCCAGGAATCAGCTGGCGACTCGGCGCTGGCAGAACGTGGCATCAGCGACATGCTCTGGGCGACGTCTTGGTGCTCCAGGTTGGCATCGTACATGGCAAGTGCATGCTTTGCCTGGGCTTCGCGGGCGGACTTCAAACTGTGCCTCTCGATGTCTCTCTTCCCAAGCCCGAACGGCTTTTTGTTCCCCATCCGCACTTGCTCAGTAGCCCGCTTGCCAGCATCGATGAGCACCTCGCATTTCACTGGATCTGCCATGTCTCGGCGGTAATCGTCGGACGTGCTGCCGCCCCAGTTGGCCTTGCCGCCGACGTTCTTGCACCTCTGGGATATGAATGCGCGGTAGGGGCCGCCGCCGTGGCTCTGCGTCTTCCTGCTCGGGGCCGACGCGGCTGGCTGCGACGGGCTCGCCGCCTGAGCCGAGGGCGCGGCCGCTGGCGCCGCCGCGAGCCCTCCCGCGCCCGACTCTGGCGCCCCAGGTACGCGAATGCCATGGAAAGCCCGCTCAAGGGCGCGAGACCGCCTCAGCAACTCGGCGGCGCTGGCGTCCTCGATGGCTTGTCGATGAGTCTGCGCGCTCGACCCCTCCAGCTGCCTGCGAAACCGACTGTGCCCAACCTCGACGGGCACGGTGTCGCGCATGAGTAGCATGAGCGTGCGCCGAAGACCAGCCAATGCAATCGTCGACGTGACGCCACCTCTGCCCTCGCTCGTGTAATGCGCGTGGAAGGATGCAAACCAATCATCCCACATGTGCTCCTCTGTGAGAATCTCATCAATCAAACCTGGCTCTAAGAGTAAACGGAAAGGCTTGAAGGGGCATGTTGACCTATGCGCCTGAAGCTCCAGCATGAGGCACAGTGACCTGGATAGCTGTTTGAACACCTTCAGGCGCAACGGGAGAGACCTGCAATTAGCTGGGAGCACACGCCACATGTCTCCAGAGTTCATCAGCTGCTTGATCAAATCGATCACCTGGACATCGGGGACGCCCGAAGCCAGCGACAAAGCACGATATGATCGGAGATTGAAGCCAGACCGACCAGCTAGCACAGCTCGGCCCTCCTCAGCACGCTGGCGAAGCCCCCATGCCGAGCCGCTCATCCACAACAAAGTCTGCATCACAACCCTGTGAACTTATGCGACGCGCCGAAGCACGGTGGTCTCTGCAAGGAACGTTGGCCTCGATATCCAGTCCCGAACCCGCTGGCGACGACGGGCCAGCTCCTGCTGCTGGAGCTTCCACTCTTGCAGGGCATCGGGCTGGCCCACGTCGCCAGGCGCGTGGGCTGCGGGGGCGGCCGCTGCGGCCCCTGCCATGCCAAGAAGGGGGCCGCGTCGCCATCCAGCAGCATGGGGGGGGGGGCGCAGCTGCGCCGCCTTCAGGGGCTCCCTCGACGCCTCCAGCGCCGACGTCGCCAACGACGTCTTTAAATGTGGCGCACCACTGCGCATAGGCGTCCTGGAAAAAGACCGCGGGCGCAAGCAAGCCCGCCAATCCAACCCAGTGGCTCGTCGTGGCCGGCCCAGGAATCCCCCGGGAAACCACGGGGCGCTGCGCCAGCCATGCACTTCGGGAAAAAAAAACAACGAACTTCTCCTTGCAATGTTGCTCACCGTTGCAGCACCCAGCACAGTAGCGTTGCATCCGCAAGCCATTTGGGCTCGAACGGTTTAGGAGACGCACCGTGTCCCCAGGGCGCCCGTCTCACGGAACAACAAAGAAATCACGTAGAGGTGGGATGGAGAGGGCGAGAAGGACGAGCAGGAGACAGGAGAGGAGGAGGAGGGGAAAATGGAGAGGAGGAGGAGCAGCAGAAGCAGGAGTAGGAAGAGGAGGGGGAGGACGGGGTGAACGAGCAGGTGAATGTAGAGCGCGAGGGGTGCAGGGGTGAAGGCGCCAGAGGCCCATGGCGGAGCCCTCTTGGGCCCCTCGTGCTTCTGCCCATCATCCCCTTGCTCCTCGCCCGCAAATCCCCTCCTCCTCCTCCTCCCCATGATCGCCACACCCCCCCCCATCCTCTTCCCCCTCCTCCTGGCGGCCCTGCCGGGCCCAGAGGAGGGGTAGCTGGGGCCTGCAGGCCCCCGAGAAAGGGGGAGCGGACCTCAGAGCGGTCCCTCGATGGCACGCGCGGGCCCAAACACTGACCCGATGGGGGGGGGGGGGGCGGCGGTGGGCCCTAGAGCGAACAGACGCCCGAAAGCTCCCCCACGCCCGCGCGAAAATACGCGCGGTTGCCCTTCTCGCCCCTTCGCTGCCGACGGGCCCTCGGGGCCCCGAGATTGCCGAACGGCCGGAGCGCGGCCCAAGACTGGCCCAAGAACGCCGACTCCGCGCCCACGGGCGCGCGGACGGCCCCAATACGCATCCAAGAGCACCGCCCACTCAAGGAGCCTCGAGAGCGCCCGCCGACCGACAGGAGAACCCCAAGGGGGCCAGCGGGGAGGCCCCAAGCGGCCCACCGACATTCCACCTGCCCAAAACGGCCCCAAGATCGCTCCAATATGATACCAATTGGCAGCGCGCAACCACTCGACCGCGGGCGCCGCGGAAAGCGAACGCCGCGCCACGGTTGTCTGCGATGTGCGCCCGCGCGGCTGGGTTAGGGGGTCGCTGCGGAGATACGCGAGGCGTTCTCGGTTTTTCTGGAAGACCACTTGCCAATGCACAAAGATTCAACAAGTTTGCGCCGCAGTCTCTGCGAACGTTCTTTCCATGTGAAAAACACATCAAGCCACAACTGCCTCTCCTCGAGGTTGCTCTCTGGCGGTGCACCTGGAATGTACTCGAGGCGGTCTCTCAGAAGCGTTCGCAACACTCTTCGAAAACGCGCCATGCCGAAACCGCCTGACATTGAATGCGATGCATCAATGATCCAACATGCCCTATGGGCGACAGGCGGTCGACCGAGATTCCTTCTCACCCTTCGGGCAGGGGGTTGCCAGCGCCCGACCCCTCCCCATTGCCCTGGGCGGGGCGGGGGGTGGGGGGAAGAGGGGCGGGGGGGGGGGGTGCGCGAGCGGCCAGAAGTTTCTTATCCGCACATGGGCAAAACCCATTTTGACGCCCCCACGGGGACCGCAACCATCGAGGGGGGCGGCGCAACATGGGCCCCCACCTCGCGCGCGCTGACCGATGGCAACCAATATGGCTCAAATATCCCCCCCCCCCCCCCCCCCCCCCCCCTCGTGCTCCCAGGGGCCCCCCCAAAGTGACATGGAGAGCGCAGCAAGGAGCCCCAGCGCGGCCCCACGACGGCCCCCAAGACAGCCCTGAGAGGGTCCGAAGGCGGACCACGCGGCCTCCAAGACGCCCAAGATCGCTTCACCAAGGCAACCCGCAGTGCGGCGATTGTTGGATGGGCTGGCGGGGGCACGCGAAGCGTGAATGATTGCGTTGATGTCGCGACAACTGAAATCCATCACCTTGGCATGAATATTTGCTATCCTGTGCACGGCGCACTTCAAGTGCAAAACATTAAAACGCTTATATAAAGGCGTGCAAACGAGGCCACGCTCCGCGGCGGCGCACGATGGATGCATCGCCATCTGTGGCCACGAGGCGCTGGCACCGATCGAAGCAGTCAGGTCTATCACCCAACCTCGGCCTGGTTTTCTTCAAGACGCTGCATGTAGCACTCTGGATGCTTGCTGGCCATGCTCTGATGCCACGCTGGCAGAGAGAAGCGAAACGTCTGGAAATATCCATCAGCACCGACCATGAGACTGAACATCCAGCAAGTGGCCAAAACCGTCTGCTGTGAAACTTCATTGGGTGACGACGCAAGCTTCTCTTCTTCAGGTGAAAGCGTGGAGCTCGCCTTCAAAACTGCATTAAACTCAACGTCGGCGACGCGCAGACGCGTAGGCGGTTCATCATATTGGCGCGATTCCATAAAGAGAAGCAACTTTCCTCCTGCCCTGCGTGTGTTTGAAATAACATGCCGCATTCCATTGATGGCGTCGGAATGCAATATCGACAAGCCTGCCATGGCGAGACACCGCCGCCGTCTCGACAACGTGAACGGCGTCGTGCCCAACATCTCGGCCTCTACCTTCAAGCTGGCATGCGAACGCTTCGTGGACAAATAATGGTCGGCAATCCGCATCGAAACTGCATCCGTTAGGTCTCGTGCGTCGCACTGGCGGACCCGTTCCCATAACAAAGACACACTACGTAAATGAACACCTGCGACGGCAATATCTTCAACAGGGCCGATGTCATCTGGGTCCTCAGCGGCAGCACCTGGCAACAAAAGGGGAACTATCGCCATGTCCGCCGCCGCAGCGTGCGGGGCGCCAGCTGGGCCGCCAGCTGGACCGCCAACGCCTGCATCTGGCACCAAGCAACTGTCATCATCCAAACTCTCTTTTCCGAGCCTGAGAAATTGTTTGGGCGTCAAATGCGCCGGCGGCACCTCGACGCCAGCTCGGCCCTCGTCGCCAGCGCCAGCCTCCTCATCGTCAATACACTCACTGGCAATGGCAGCCTCGAGGCCAGCCCAGCGCCCGACAACGGGCGGCTCCGCGTCGCCAGCGCCAGCCTCCACATCAAAACACTCACTGGCAATGGCAGCTTGCAGGCTAGCCCAGTGCCCGACAACGGGGGGCTCACCGTCTCCAGCGCCAGCCTCCTCGTCACTACATTGATCTGAGAGTAGCTTCCCTAGTTGATCCCACGGCATTGGGACAACGTCGTTGAAGGAAGAGTGCGGTATGCAAGCTTGGTTTGAGCCCACATGGTTACGGACGCTGCCCTGTGGACCCCCCGACCCCCTCATCATGCCACCGCCCCGAAGACATTATCAGACAGAGCCCGCGCATCTGTTACAGCAAGGGCCCATGGCGTCACTGGCTAACTTCTGAATATTCGCGCCCCCACGCAAGCCTGACATCTTCGCGCCCGACACCCTGCGGATTTCCCACGAGGAACCTCGAGACAACAGACTCATCTAAAGAAACATACTCTTCCGTCTCACGTTCGTGACGTTCGTCGTTGTCATCGTCGTCGTAGTCGTCGTGTTCCTCCACTCCCGTTTCCTCCTCCTCCTCTCCACCGCCGCCACTTTGGCTCATGCTTAGGTTTGGCCATTGAAGTTGCCCTCGTATCAGAAGGCTCCGTCGGCGGGGGCCCATCGCCCACGCAGGGGCCGAGAAACCTCTCCAAAACCTGTCGAACCTTCTGCTGCGTCGGGGGACAACACGAACATAAACATTTCAGGTGCACGCGGTTTAAACATTCTCGATCCATTATCGCTACTTCCTGAATTTTGATTAAAACGGCAGTTTACCGGGACATCTATGTCTCAACCCGAAGGGTTGTCGTAATGGGGGGAAACGAATAAACATCTTTCTGGGGCGGACGATTCAAAAAATTGTTTCCCGGGCCTCTTCGCCCCCGCAATAGGGGGGGGCAGGACAGGCAAACGGGGGGCTCTGCCTGAAGGCCAGGGGGGGGGGGGGGCACGGGGTGGCGATCCAGGGCGCGGGGCCAGAGGGGGTGGACGGGGTGATTTTTCAGGGCGAGCTCGTCGTCCTCCTCCTCCTCCTCCTCCTCCTCCTCGTCCTCCTCCTCCTCCTCCTCCTGCTCCTCCTCCTCCTCCTCCTCCTCCTCCTCCTCTTCCTCCTCCTCCTCCTCGTCCTCCTCTTCCTGTTCCTCCTCCTCCTCCTTCTCCTCTTCGTTCTCCTCCTCCTCGTCCTCCTCCTCGTCCTCCTCCTTCTCCTCCTCCTTCTTCTCTTCCGCCTCCTCCTCCTCCTCCTTCCTCCTGCTCCCCCTCCTCCTCATTCTGCCCTTGCCCCCACCTCCCAATCGCCGCGGCCGTCCGCAAAGACGACCGGCGGCCGTCCGCAAGGACGAGGGTGATCAAGCGCCTCTTCGAAAACCCCTTCCCCCCGAGGACGAATAGAAAAACAGTCCCCCCAAATGGGCAAAAACAAACGCCGGGGGGGCGGACGATTAAAAAAACGCTTCCGGCGGCTACATTCTATTAGTCGGCCCCACTCAATCATTTTGGGGGGTCCGGGGGTGGGGGGGGCGATTGTTTTAGTCGTTTCCCCCATTACAGGTATTACGCTTCCCGTCCCAATGTGGCATTCGATGGCCACCGAATGTGTATATATATATGTATATATATATATGATGCTGCGACTGTTTTCATTCAGTGGAGGCGGTAGAAGCGGATATAATAGATGGAGCATCGGAGCCTGTTGGCTGGAACAAACAAGTCTGGTCAAGGAAACATGTCCTGTGAGCACAATGAAATCTTAGCGTATGACATGACTGGAAAAGCCGCCCATGCCTGTATTCTGGTGCGCGTTGGTATGCTTGGGCGAACCGAATCATGGAACAACTGCTTACACTGGGTTTCATCCTGGGGCGGCGTTAAGGCTCATCGTCCGTATTGATAAACATGTAAGCCACTCTATCGACACGCATGCTTGCAACTCCATCGCGAAAACGCTCAACAATCACGCTGACAAGCTCTGTTATAGCTGGACACCCGTTTATCCATTTATCCCACCATTCTCTGATCCTGGCCTCCATGTTGTGATCAGACATGGCCTGGACAGATCTTGGCGTAGATCGCAATATGAATGACTTCGGCACCGACTTGGCTGCAACGCCAAGGACCAATACAATGTTCCGTGACGCCATGGAGAAAGGTCTGCATCAATCTGGGCGTCACAGTCTTGCCACATCGTGACCTTCTGCTGATGCCCGAGGACAAGAACAGTATAATCTGGCAGCGTGGCAGAAACAATACCGCTGGCCATCGCCCAAATCAACGCGATGCATCCGAAGGATATCAAAATCTTTCTCCCACGATTGGACCTTATCGCGACAAAACAGCAAAGCAAGGTCGCCAATCGGCTGCACACATTGAGCATGCAATTCTTGGGCAATCTTTTGAGCCTCACGGATTGGGCCAAAAACGCTTGAGCCAAAATGGCTGGACCATTAAAGTCCCTACGTTTCGGGTTCCCTCTGGACAGGATTTCCCACTTTAGGACCCGACATCTTCGAGATGACCTTCGACGCCAACGACAACCCTGCTCTCTCGCCCCCCCCCCCGGTGAGGACCATCATGGGTCTCGCCTGTGAGGACCATCATAAGCCTCACACCCCTCGCAGCTGCCATCATAGGGGCTGCTTGGGGCCCGCCCTCTCCTACCAATTCACCAATACACCAGTACACCAGCAGGGAGGGGTCCAAACGTGCCTCCACATTCTTACACCTTTACACCAATCAACACATCAACCAATTCCTCATATTCCTCGCCTTCCCCATCTCCCTCGAACCTAGAAGCCACCCAGAGCCCCTAGGTCACCCTAACTGCTCTAATCCTCCTGTCTCCTCCTCTCTCCCCTCCCCTCCTGGCCTTGCGAGCTAGCGCCATTGGCGGCCATCGACCGCTGCCCTCTCGCCTCCGCCTCTGGGCTCGCCTTCGCCGCTGGCCATGTCTCGCCGCCATGGGCTGCCGCTGGGCGGCCAAGGAGCAACGCTGCAGAGGGCCGTGCGCAGTGCCTGCGTTCGCGGGCGTTCGCCATACGGCATCTGCTGCGCGGTTTCGACGCCCTGGTGACTCACAAGGGGTGGCAGCCGCCAGGCTGGGCACCGCCCTAGCCAGTCTGCTTCATCCCCTTGCTCTTGATACTGTACCTGCTCGAGCAGCCCTTCGGGCAACGGCTCGTGTGAGGATGTCGGCAGTGCAAGAGGGTGGTACTGCTCCCTGGGCTGTATCGACGGATCCACGGGCTGTCGCTAGACATGGACCGCGGAATGCTGTTGATATCAACGCAGTATGTTGCATGGACAATGGCGAAGATGAAGCCACGGGCAAGGGCGTCGTGGTCGGTCTTCACGCTCCTGCTCCAAACCTGCGGCTGCGCCGGAGTGCCACGCCTATGCCTGGGCGCAGCGTTTCAGTTCTGCAGCTCTGCAGCTGGCGCTCGATTCGCGCTGCACCGTCGTTGATTGCCTTCTGGTCGATCGTCGCCTCCTACTGGTCGCGCGGGCTCGGCTCGGGTCCGTCTAGTTCGCGTGCGGGTCGGTCCTGTTGACTCCCGTTCGACGTGGTCGTTGGTTTCACCTCTTTGTTTCGGGACCTGCCTCTTTGGAGGCGCTCCATGCCCCACCCCCTCCCTCCTTCATCCCTCCACCCTCGCCGTTTTCCTCCTTGTCCTCCTTCCCAGGCCACCACCACCACCACGTTAATTCCCTCCCTTCCCTCTCCTTCTTATCCTTCGCCTCCCTCATTCCCTCCGTTCCCTCTCCCCTCCCCCTGATCTGTCCTCCTCCTCCTCCTCAACCCCTCCTCCACTCACCTTATCCTGACCACTCCTCGAGACCGGGTCCTCCGTCCGCTGCCGCGTCGCGCTCTCCCTGTCAGCCTGTAGGCCACGGGCGCAGCGGTCAGCGCCCAGCCGCGGTGAAGCGGCGATGCAGAGGTTCGGGGGAGGGGCAGAAGGGGGGAACGGGGGGACGGGGGCAGAGGAGGGATGGAATTGAATTGGGGCGGTTGAACCAGAAGGGAAACACCAGAAAGGGCGGGCCAGGGGCAGAGAAGGGGAAAGAGGAGGAATGGGATGCGCGGCGGGGAAAGGAACAGTGGAGGGACGAGCAGGGTAAGACGAAATAGGAGGGGATGCGATAACGGGGAAAGGAGGACGCCGACGGCGATGACGACGAAGTCGGAGGGGAGGGAAAAGGAGGGTCATGAAGAGACGCAGAACTTGAAGGATCAGGAACACAAAAAACGTTCAGGGGGGGGGCGTGCATGGAGGGGGCAGCTGGGAACGAGGCGCGACTGCTCCGTGAAGCCCCAGCCTGTCTGGACATGGTGTCACGAAATGATTCTGCTAATCTGTTCCGTCGCAACGCCGAGGAGGCGATCGGCAACCGCGCTCTGACGAGCCGGGCTCGGGCACGCATGAAGTGTCCGGCGGCGAGGGTGGGGGCCGAGGCGGGGCGCGGCCGCGGCGGGCGGGAAGAGGAGGGAGGGCACTCACAGCACGAAGAACTCCGACTGGACTGGCTGGGGCGGCTGACGCGGCCTGGCAGTGGACACGGGGCGGCATCGCGACCACACCTAGGGGCTGAGGCGCAAGCTGCAGCGCAGAAAGCGAAGACCAAGTCACTCAGGCGACGGCATCCAGGTGTTCAACTTCGGAAAACAAACAAAAGGCACTCCCCACGCAAACCGATATCGCGCTGACCACGAGTTGATGCAATACATAGGCGAACGGAAGGCGAGATACCGACAAGCAACAGTACGGCTGCACTGCAAGCCACAGGCAAGCGACCAGCTTCTTAAAGCAGACTGTGCAAGTCAAAGGCGAGCTAGACGAATATAAACTTGATAATGGCCTGGAAAGCCAATGCCCGATTCAATGATCACACATGCCGAAACAACCTACACGCAAACTGGTGACAAGCCTATCGCGTCTAAGTTGCAAACCATCGGCAAAGTATACTCAAGGAAGGCACATCGAAGATACAAACTACAAACACATTCGCAAAGCACACAAAACAAAACACATGAGAGCCGCGAGGCTCCGCGAGGATCGGGGACATGGCACCCTCAAGGGGCCATGAGATAGGGCACGCTCGAAGAACCCAGTCCCAATATGCACTCGACACTAGCCCTACTGCATAACATCAGCTGGGACACTGCAGGCAAAGCCAAGTTCAGGGAGAGACAGTCGCCCTGTGAC